CACACACACACACACACACACACACACACACACACACACACAGATGGGGCCATATAAACCCTCTCTGTCCCCTGGGTTTTTGCTCCGTTGTCTGCTTTAGTTGGCAGGGCTATAAAAGGATCCACACCCACATGAGAACAGTATCTGTCATCACCCGAGTGTCCAAAGTTCTCCCTCTGTCTCACCCAGTCTCTTCTTCTTCATTGTTTTCTCTCCCGTTTCTTTTGTTGGTTTGTCCCGCTCTCTGCCCCTCGACTTTCTTTCTATTTCTGACCCGTCTTTATCTCGATTCCCATCATTACTTTCTTCCCTTGTGTTCTCCACCTGGCCTATTTCCTTGTTACCTCATAGTCTCTCTTCTTTCTCACTGTGTCTAACTAGCCGGCTCTATTTGTACAGCTGTTTAGTAGGATGTCCAGATCTGTATCAGTGAAGTCTGGCTGCCTAGTGAGGCGTAGAGAGCAACACATGCTGGCCTAACCACTCTGGAAGCACCTTAACGAGACATTGGTGACCACCGCAGTGAGACAGAGGAACTGAAATACCCGACTGTACCGTGTGTGTGTGTGTGTGTGAGATGTGGGAGGCGCGGGGTGTGTGTGTGTGTGTGTGTATGTGTGAATACATTCTCGTTGCTGGTATCCGTGTGCATGTGTCTTCATTGGTAAGCACACACAGGCCTCTTTGCATCTCAGATTTGTACAATGCAGGGAGAGGATACCGGAAGGCGCCATTGAAGCGACAGTGGGAACCAGTAGAAGATGGATGATAAAGGCTCGTTCCCAGCCGGTGCTGAGAGACGCTGCTGTTCTCGTCCACAGCAGACAGACCCACCGTGAGACAGAACAGAGACACCATATTGACGTCAGTTTGTTGTCTGCCTGGTGAATCATAGAGAGTGTCAGTCAGTCAGACAGGCAGAGTAGCCTACAGTACATCAGCCAAGGAAAGATCCCACAGATGATACTGGCTCTTTGGTGCTGTGACTGTTAAGTCTTTTTTTTTTTTCTCTATTAGTATTCTGATTCAGTGGCTAGTGCTTGTCAGTGTCTTGAATCTGTCTAGGCTAGCGACTGTATTTGTGCGTGCACACACATCTGAAAATGAGACTGCCAGAGTGACAGTCTCTGGTTGCTGCGCCTCAGCCACTGTGATGCTGTTACGTCTGAGTGTCCATCACTTAAGAGCAGCTTCTTTCTAAGCTCTGCTCGCCATCTTTGCAAAGCGTCACATGAAGTGAGAGTCACTTCCCTTTGGGAGAAGTAGGTGACACTCCCTCAGTGATAATGCAGAGCCTATTCTGAAGTGATTGCGATGTGCCACTTAAATTTATTTTTAGTGACACAATAGTGATACAAAAGAAGTCATTAGATATTCAATTTTTTGGTTGAACAGACAAAAAGCTACAGCCAGGTAGGGCCACGTTGGATGTAGACATGCAGCAAATGTAGACATGCAGCAAATCCATGAGTTTTGGTCTAATACTTACATTAATGGTAAATAAATAAGAGAACAACAACAACAAAACATGAGGCTTTAAAGGGAGTACAATCCTGCTTTATCCTCTAAAAAGGGTTTTTGAGGAAAAAACTAGAAACGCAGACAACCGTGCTATACCTCCGTTTCTGTCCGGTCCATTCTCGTGAACCTGATATCTGAGTAACGCCTTGAGCGTTAATTCTAGTTGTACCATGAATGATGACGAAAGAAAAGGAGCTTGTTTGTTTATCTCTCTGTCTACATTTTCTAATGAACATTTGGGTTTTTGTCAGAGAAGACAGGCTTTTTCTTCAACAGCACATGAACATAGAGTAAACACTTTTGTCCCTAATTGCACGTTTAGCCAGATAAAGCCTCTGAGATATAGCGCAGTATACATCAAGCTACATGTGATCAGCAAAGCTTTGATACTATAACTAAAACTCCCAGCTAAGCTTTGGTTTTGAAATGGTTACAAGTGTCTTTTCTGACTTGTGTCTCCTTCCCATCGCTCTGCCCTTTCTCTCCTAACCATCTTGCAATACTGTGATGACTCTGTTGTCTCTCCAAGCTTTCCCATGAGTCCTTTCCCTGTTCTCTGTTTGTTTGTGTGATCCCTCCCCTTAGGCCACTGTCCCACATCTGTGGAAGTATGTGTGTACGTGTATATTTGTGTGCGTGCGTGTGCAAGCATGAATGTATTTGGAGCTTTGAACAGTGTACATGGTGGGTGTGTGCGTGTGTGTGTGTGCGTGCGCATCTGTGTGTCTAAATATAAGTGTGTGTGTGTGTGTGTTTTGTAATCAGTGTGTAATCCCTTCCCTGAGGCCACTGTTCCACACAGCTGGACTCAGAGAGCCTCTGGAGGGTTTCTGTGCTATTCAAGCATCCTTTGCTCTTTCCACCTGACTGGGTGGTTGGTGTGTGTGTGTGTGTGTGTGTGTGTGTGTGTGTGTGTGTGTGCGCGTGTGCGTGTGCCTGCGCCTGCGTGTGTGTGTGTTTTAACAGGTGCAGTACCGAGAGCTGAAACTGGATCCCAATCCCAGTCCAAATAAAAGGAAGAAAAACAACCCCGGGTAGATGACTGTGTCCGCCCACCAACTCTTCTCTTCTTTACTTCCCTCCTTGTGGTCTATTACTGGCCTCTGAGGAGCGGAGGAAGACGGCTCTGGAGCAGCTCGGCTCAGCTATCCTTCCCTTTTTTTCTTTTCCAATTTTCTTTTCTTAAAGCTTTTTTTCTGTCTTAAATTGCTCATGATGTACAGTACAGTTTCCTGAAGTGTAATTTTTGTATAAAAAAAAAAAAAAGGACGAGTACAAGAAACATTCTTATCACCATTAAGCTTTTGATTGATTTTAAAGGCGAGTGGGAAGGATGGATGGAATGACCTTTTTCCTCAGCCGTGTGCGCCACTCTCCTTTCTCCTCTCCATCACTCTGACAGTTCGGAGGACAAGAGTCACACAATGAGGAAAACCAGTTTTAACATTTATACTCGCAGTCCCAAAAATGACATTTTCAGTGCAATCCATGTTTATCAAAATACAAGCCTTATACCAACATTCTGCATTATCACTCTGCAGTAGACTTTGAAGTCTTTTTCTAGAGCATATTGTAGTTATCAAAAGGTTTTGGTAATATGTTCATATTTTCTAATTGTTTTTGTACTGAAGTATCTTTTGTGTTATTCCTCTCTTGGATGTGGTAATGATGTTATGTTCACTGGCAGTAATTTGTATTGTTTCCACTTAACTCAGCCAGCCAAGTTGATTAGCAATTATGGTCGTAGCCCCCAGATATGTCCTTCTACACAAACACAAAGCTGGTCCAACAGGCTGAAGGCTTGTGGTCGTATCTGTCCGTACTTTGATACAATGGCCAAATAAAATCAATCCACACTAGACAGTGGTATTAGTTTAAAGCACAGTGAGACTGTTCTTCTTAAAATAGATTGTAATTACATAATTAAATAATACCCGGAGGAAAAAAAGGACAGTTTGTATTTTTACCGCAAACATTTATCACCACTGAATGTCCAGATAATTTAGTAGCAGCTTCGTTTAACCCCTTAAAAACGTGTCAAAGTCCCCCGTCAGTCAATCAGTGCGACACCGTCTCTGTCTGTCAGATGACGCAGCAGACTGGGCCTTTTGCTGTCGCAGTGTTAATACAGATGTCACTCAGTCTGTGCATGAGTGTCGCCAGGCATGCAGGCCTTTAGGCAGCCACAGCCCTAATCTTGTTTGAAAGGCCGGTCTCCTTTCCTCTCATCTCTCTGTATGTTTGCCTCAGCACCCACACAAGAAAGCATTCACACACACACACACACACACACACACAAGAATGCATGCATGCATGCAGACACAACAATAACAACAAAAATATCCTCTCACATGAATATGCTTCTTTCAGAGATCTCGCGTACACATACTGTACCTACTTGCTCGCAGATGAAAGCATAACATCCCATTTGAGCAGGCACATTCTCTCCCTCTCAGGCACACACACACACACACACACACACACACACACACAAACACACACAAACACACAAACATGCTCTCTGTGCTGTTGTGCCCCAGGCTGGCCGCCCTCTCCATCTGCCCCACCTCCTGTGCCCACAGCACAACTTTGATCCATCTTTCCAGAGACAGAGGCGTGTGTATGTGAACCGTATATGTAAGAGTGTTTGCGTATACACGTTTATGGAATCAAAGACGTGTTGCTTTTCTCAGCGTCTGTGTGTGTTACAATTGTATCTCCCCTCCAGCTGTAGACTGATGCGTAGATTCAGTCGTGTGTGTGTGTGTGTGTGTGTGTGTGTGTGGTGCAGCAGAAGTGCCAGCTGTTATTTGTGTGGAGTTTGCTGGTGTTGGCGGCCGTCAGCTAGATGAGCAGCAAGTCGCTGTGTGACAAGACAAGGCTCTGAGGGGACCTAGGCCTGAGATGTCAGGGATGTGTGTTTTATGCTATTTCAGATCCCCTTTCCCATCATGCTTCTCTTCGTTTGCTCTCTCTGCGGTTCCCTCATTCGTCAGTGAGCGGGGTTGCGACCCTGTCTGAAGGGATGGTCTCCTGGGCTTCTTGCTGAACATCTGCTGAAAGATCACAGCCCAGGCTACATTTGAGGAGGTCTCCTCTCATCCTACTGATCCCTACCTCCATCTTTTCCTCCCCTTCTGCATCTTTTTGTTCCTTCCCCCCCCCCCCCCCCCCCTTTCGCTATCTGGCCGTCCGTCTCTCCGTCTTTATCGCTCTAACCCCCTCCCCACCACAATGAGAGCTCTGTTCTGCCATTTCGTCACCCTCTCTCCCTGACTGTCTCCTTGCCATCGCCTGTACCCTCTCTCTCCTTACCTCTTTCCCTCCCTCCCTCCCTCTTTACCCATCCATCTCCATGCTTAAATATCAACAGGCTTGGATCTGTCACTCCAGAGAGCCATTGATTTTGTTTTGTTGTTTTGAGGAATCCACTTGAAAGACAATAACAGACTGTCCCCTAAGAGCAGCGTTGCAGACTGATTATAGCCTCCTCAACAAACACACTCTGTGGCTCGTGAAGGATGGCTTTTTATAATGCCTGAAGGGACTGTTTGAATACCTGATATGTACTGTATGTGTCTAGTACTGTATGTCGTTATTTTACAGCAAATTGTGGTGACTATTGTGTGGTATTGCATTCAAATACCGTTTTCTTTTTTGTCATATCTTATTGGATTTTGGCTTTGTTTGCAAGCAAACCAAACTGTTTTTATTTTGTATGACGTAGAGAAAATAAATTATATAAAGGAATGTATCAGACTGTCGGCTGTAAAGGGGAAAAAAAGCACTTTTATTTGCACCAAGTTGAAATGAGACTATTTATTTTTTAAATACTACTGTACATAGCTATCTACTTAATTTATGTTTGTATTTTATACAGTATGCCTGTTAATGGTCTGGTGATAATCTTGTAAAGTAGGTGTATGCCTGCCTCATTTTCTAAGATCTGTCTTTTTCTGCCTGCTACGTTGCCTGCCAGTGTGACATCATCTTCATGTGCCCAGTCCTTGTCCAATGACATTTCAGGATGGGAATAAGGAGCCGAGACATAAATTGGTTTAGGAGGGGTAAAAGAAGATGCGATGTATATTTCCGGTTTGAGAAGTCCAAATGCATCTGATGTATGTTGCTTATTTTGAAAGATAAAATGAGAAAACAAACACGAGATTAAATATTTTTTAGCATCTTTGGAGTGTCTGGATTATTGCAAAATTTGTTTTCAGCTTCAACAATCTCGACCCTCCCCAACAAGCAGGCTTAAACCACTCATTCCTCACTGCTGTCTCTGACCCTGAGTGCTCATCAGCGCCTCAAGTATCTCAGACCAGGATGACTCTTAACATTTAAAGCTTTCAGAATCTCTTAAAAACTTGGCACATGGAGTGTACAAAAAAGTTACTTTAATTTATTTTATTATAAATAGTTGACGTGGAAAAAAAATTGAAAAAGTAGCTGTAGAAAATAACTTGAGGTAGTAACAGTCTATATAGAAATGATTGTGTTGCCATAAAAACATGCAACTCAGACTATTCAACAGACACATTGTTCCATTTGTGAAATATAAAAGAAGGTAGTGAAATGTATCTAATCCACGGTGCAGCTATAAAGGTTTCTCTGTATGAATGAACATACAGCTAACTTCAAAAACACATGCTTGGGCGAAGGCCACATTATTTTGGAGGCCTACATTCACAGATGATTGTTGCCTGTGTAGACATTTTTAGGCCTTGGCGAATTGTATGATATAATAATTGAAAATGACTGACAAAGATGCCCTTTTGATAGCATTCAATCAAAGGTTGCACATTCAATTAATTTCAGTGTGTTCATTGATCCTGTGTCACAGATCAGCCACTAGTGCTTCCCCCCGAGACTTAAGGTCTTCCAGTATCTCCATCAGGAACAGTGTATTCTCTCCTTTGCACTCTTTCACTGCGAGAGACACCTGGCCCAGGTAACTCCCTCTGCCCAGCTCCAGCAGTGTGTCTGCATCCTCCACCAGCCTCACCGCCCGCTGGTCTGTCCAGCCCAGAGTCACTGTTTGGTGGGAGTGCGCCTCCAGGGCTCTGAGCAGCGTGTAGCCCAAGCTGTGGGACTTGTCGCTGGGCTGCGCATGGCCGGGTAGGCCCCTCTCTTGCTGGTAGGAGAAAATGAGGTGTGCCAGCAGAGAGGATCCGGCCTCCAGGAGGGGCAGGTTCAAGACCTCAGTCGAGTTGTTTCTCAGGGCGGAATCTCCCACATGCGCGCTGTGGAGGAGCTCCTCCCTCTGACTTGTTGCAGAGACCAGATCCAGTGCAGTCCGCCCGTCTCCATCATTCTGCTGCAGGATAACTGAGCCTGGAGGGGGCAGAGGTATACAGGATCAGATCACACAACCCTTACCGACTTGGACTACAGTCATTTCTATCACGACTCAAGTTACTCCCACAATGACATTTATTGCTCTTGAAAAGATCGTAGGCATGGGTCAAACAACCTGCGACAAGCGTGACTGCAAATGTTTGCCTGTAAATACTTTTAACGGGGAAGTATTTTTTTAAGAACAAAACTCAGTTTGTCCTGATGGCACTAAAAACTTCAACAACATTGTACAATGACTTAAAGTGCCTTTAAGAGGATCTGCCAATGCCTCTATGGAAGTAAGACAAAAGTGCATATTGAATAGTTGTGAGTGCATGCATGTGGCCTTCAACACCATGACAAAACAGAAAATCTAAATGCAAACACTAAATACTCTTTGACCCCCCCCTCTACTGAAGCTCATCTTTAAGTTGCCTCCTAAATTGAATGCAGAGATGGAGGTGCTCTTGTTTTGAGTGGCATCAAATAAATCACTGCTAATGGACTTTAAATGCGACTTGGAATGTAAATCCAGCTGTAGTTTTGGAAACTGAGCTTAATGGGTGTAATGTACAGCCGGTTGAGGTCGTCGGCGATGGCATCGTGACACACTGACCTGCTACTGTAGGCTGCAGCATCATTATCAAATAAGATAACACTTTGAACTGTGTGAGTGGCGGGTCACTTTGTGTTTGTGTTAAAAGCGCAGAAGGTTGGTGACCTGATGGTGGCTTCGCTCTCCTGTTGGCCTTTTTTTTTTTTATGTAATGCTGTAACACTCAAGGCCATCATCAGCAACACTAACACAGAGAGCTACTGGGGGTTACAAACTCACAACAGACCTCAACTGTGATCGATATTAAAAGTCATACAATACAAATACCTATACATGTAACACCCCCCCCCCCCTTACAACGCCAGGCAAGTTACAACAGTGACATTTACCGTCCACTCTTCTGCTTTGTCTGTTCAGGCTGAAAGCCATTTTCCAGTGTCAGACAGGCCCCTGCGCACTTAGCCTACATGGAGCAGGTCGAGTCAAGTGTGAGCCCTTTGTTTGCTTTTAGATAGATCCATTTCTATGGCAAACCGCTCTTGATGGCACTTGACTGTTCAACCCCGGCAGTGCTGCTGCCACGTACCAGTTTACGGCTCTGTGGAGGCCCGGCGTGTCACACAGAGGGCTGCTTGATACCACTGCTGCCAGTTGTTTCTGTTTGACAGACATTGTGGGGCTGCAGCATTTTGTTTTAAAGAAGGGACAATCGTGTGTGTGTGTGCGCATTGTGACATAAACTACACTAATTTAACCTCCCAAATGCCATTTTGACAAAAAGACAGCCTTGTTTTAAATGACACCGTTAAAACAAAAAGTTCAAAATGGAACAATATGAATTGTGAAATTGCTCTCCATCTCTGTCTGCCACTGAACTAACACTGTGTGTAGCAGTTATGAGATAATCGGTGAGAGCTCACGTAGCTGTTAGCGGGGAAGGTCAGCGCTCGTCTACCTTTTAGTGCTTCAAGCCTGAGTGGCAAAAACTCAATCTGCATAAATTGTGGCATTAATCTACATAAACTTTTACATAAGCGGGGAAATTTCAAATGCAGGGGTCAGGCATCGGGGGTAGCAGTCAAGGACGTAAGAGCACAGATTTGATCAAAGTGGCCACGAGAGAAGAGGCAGAGGGGAGGGAGACGGAGAGCGACGTGGTGTGTGTGAGAGAGTGAGGTTGTTCACAGCAGGTCATAATCACCAGGTTTCTATAACAAGCCGTCCTCGCTATTACGCTGCTGCAGTAGGAAAGGCTGTAATATGTGAAGCCGGCCATGGCATGACACATAGCGAGCTTCAGGTCCAGAATGTGGATTTAAAAAAAAAAAAAAACACTACCATAGCACCCCATGCAGACACACAGGAGCACGCAACATCATGTCTGCTGGAAAATGAATCCATCTTTGTCCTTTTCCGGATGAGCTCTAAAAAAAGATGGGATGGCTTTTGAAGACTGAGGCTGTTTTTCTTTACAATTCATCATGTGCTGTGCCTTCCTTTGAAAGGAGCAGCCTTGAACTTAGCTCTGCAAGGGGCCTTTAAGCCTGGGCTACGAACCCAAGCACCCTGTGCCGTCTCCACCAAATGTGGAGAAAAGGGGAAAACATGGTTCATTCTCCCACTCTTTAATATTTCTCCTCCTCCTCCAATGTTGAAGCAGTTGTTTTTCCAGCGGGCACAATACAGGAACATTTAAACTGAAACACTGGGCAAACTTCAACTGAAATACCCCAATATGTGCAAGGAATACATACTGTACATATTGAGAGTATGTGCATGAACTAAATTCATGAATTGCTTTTCCCTCAGTCTCTCTTAAAATGCATACATTCCATGCATCTGTTAAGCAAGATGAAACTCTAAGTTCTTCTTTCATAAGAAAATAGCTTGTTGCAGCCAAAACGATATGCAAGTTTAACAGAACGAGTAAATGTAAGCAAAAAGCAACACTACAAGCCCCAATTACAACTGTATTGTCAGTAGAAATATTTTTGAGGTAGTTTATTTTCTTTAAATGCACAGTGAGCCACAAGCTCTGCTCTTGTGAATATTAGAAATGACTATTAAACTATCCGCAACAAAAGCTCCACCAGAAATAAAACATCAGCAATGTGCTTCAGTGCTTTCATGCGCAATCCCACATACGACTGTCCCTCTGCCGTGTCTCAGCCACAGCTCTGTGCGCTCACACACAAGATGCACATCATCAGCACAACAGAAAGAAATGCAAGATCGAGAAGTGCAGTTTTCCAGCATTCCCCTACGACATTGTGTCAAACCCGGCTGACAGACAGGCTCCAACCAGAAGGATGACACTGGTGTGGGGGCCCCTGCAGCGCGGCCCTGGGCTCGGCTTGCCTGAAAGCCTGTACGGCTGCCTGTTTGATTGTAGATCTGTCTGCCTGAAAGCCAACTGTGTGTGTCGGTGTGTTTGTCACGTTTTGCATATTTCCCTGCTTGACTTTCTCTCTTTTATTTCCAGTGAGCATCCGCTTGTGTGCTTTTGCTTTTCCAGGGTTTCTGCTTATATGGTTCACCCTCTGGACAAGAGAATCACTCGTTATCCATCCTGGGATAGAAAAAAACACGCTCTCATGCTCCACCACACAGCTCAACTGCACTTAATACAGACATCAACGATCATAGCCAATGCTAAATTACACATTTTCAGAACGGATGACAGACAAATAGCATTGCGTGCCTTTTATAATGTAATAAACACACAGACATACACAGGTATGACACTAGAGGCTGTAGAATGGTTATGGTTTTGGTGCAGGGACAGCGACTGAAGTAAATCCAGGTATTGGTGCTTGGTGTCAGATATGCTGCAGTAGAGATAAATACAGCACCTGGGGGATTACATGGGAGCACAGGGTAATTACACCATCCTGTGTGTGTGTGTGTGTGTGTGTGCACACACACACGTGTACACGGATGTGAAAAAGCCCCGCTAAGACCTCAGCTCCGAAGCTACAGCAGAGGGAGGAAATTCACATGCCGAGCATAAGCGACTGCCTGATGCACCAGCCAGATGCAGTCTGCCTGCTACACACACACACACACACACGGAGCACAAAACCTTTGGCCTTTAGAGGGCAGGCGAAGACAAGAAATATAAAAGAGAGTGGAGGAGGGGAAAATTGGCGCAAATAGAGGGTGGGAGGGGAGGAAAGGGAAGAAAGATGCAGTGTGCCCTCCCCCTCTCTCTCTCTCCCCTGATGCTGTGGCTGAGGCAGACAAGCTGGGAAGCAAGCAGCTCCACAGCATGGTAAACATCCTCTCTCTCTCTTTCTTTCTTTCTCCCCTCGCTGCCTGAAAAAGAGAGGCAGGCTGAGTGTGTGAACTGCAGCCAGGGGCACGGCATCACATATCCACAGGGAGCTGCTAGCTAGCGACTAGAAACCACAGCAAAAACAACAAGGCCAACCAAGTGAAGCACCAAAGCAGCCAGCGGAGAGGCATCAGATGCAGGGGAAAAAAGAAAGAACAGCCAGACGTGTGAATATGCTACAATCCCTCTCTGCTTCAGCAACAGTGTCTGAACGCTCAGTGATACATTTCTCCTCCTTTCTACCTTGATATTCAGAGTATAAAAAGCAGGGATGGAAAAGCCTGTGGAGGTTACATCAGATGAAGCAGTCGTGTCATTCTCTCTGTATAATGATTATAGGTCATGTGGCCTCTGTTATATTTCCTTTTGGATTGAGCTTTAATTCCACTAATGACATCACAGCCGGAGACGGGCTGTGACTTTTCAGTCACAGGTGAGCGCCATCTTAACAGGTTGTGTCTGATTAACGTGTCCCTGGTACGGCACAGTTGGATCACAGCCTTTCGGAAGAGGTGGGGCCGATAAGGATAGGATGTAGGATGTAAAAGCACGGGCACCGACTGCTAGCTTTGTGTAATCCCCTGCCGCTCCATCACTTGTAGCGAGAGGGGTTATCAGATAGACTTTGATTTACTGGATGCTGATCAGCAGTGAGCGATAAGCATCTCAAATAATCAGAGCGGAGCCCTAAATGAACTCTCAACCGGTCTCCTCAATCAGAAAAGGCTAATCACTGCCATCAGCTGTTGACTCTCATAATATGTCATGCACTGAATCATCATGTGCAAGCAAGTAAACAGTTTCCTATGATGCAATTAACATGCACACAACCTCATTTAAAAATTCAGACCATTTGGAAGTTAATTTGATAGAAGTAGACTCAAAACACAGAACTAGAGCCAGATAAAGATAGAATAAACAACTGTTAAACATGACTGTGATTTTAGAATTTAGCGTCTGCATGGCTCTTATGGGCACAGTCACTTCATCCAAATTTAACCCACTGGGTTTTATTTTTGTGGCAATGATAGTTAAATAAATGCTAAGTTTCCTATACTTAAAATGCTCTTTTTTCGTACTTCACACACTATGCAAAGGCAAGACGCA